CGACCACATGGACTCATAACTGACTGGGTTTTGAGTCCATGTGGCGTCTTCAGCTTCTCTGTGACACGAGCTTCAGATATGATCAGAAAGAGAAACCTCTCTAAACTTGTAAGCGCTGTTTAACCTCCAGATGCGCATTTGTATTCACTCGTAGTGAAAAATCTGTTGTGAACAAAAAAAAGAACATTTCTTGCTATTTCAATAGAGAGATGAATTATAGCACTTTTGCCTGACATGCAGCGATGCAAACTCAAATCTCAAATGTATTGGAAGTCAAATGTTTACAATTTTCCAACATCCATAGGATGACCACTATCTGTACATCAAAATAAGGGCTCTTCAGCGCCAGTACAGCTCTGATTCGATAACCCTCTTCCTCTCAGCCTTAAAGGCAACATCAAAACTAACTCATTAACAGTTATTCAACTTTAAACCAGACATACTTTGAGCTTTGAGTTTGCGGCTTCAAACCTTTAACGTTTCCTATTTATCTCTCCATCTAAAATCTTGTGTATCATTGTGATGTGCAAACAAAAAGAAAAACATGTGTGGAGATCCTGGCATGTGAAGATCTCGAGGATGTTGAAGGTGTCCAGTGCTTTACAAGATATAACACCGAGCAAGAAATTGTCTGGAAGTTTCCCGGAGCTCTGATCATGCTACAAATCCACTGCTTCGTCGTACTGTACATTAGACTCTGAATGTGGGCTCTTCAGGTCCGCTGGCCTGAGGGCAGTCGGCTGGATATTGTTGCAGCATCAATATTTGCAATGCTGGCAGTTATAGCGGCTCCTGTGTGCCTGACACAGCCCTGACCTGCTGAACTCTGAACTCTTTATCAAGTCCATTCAACATGGAAATTTACATCGTTGCTCCACTGGAGTGAGGCACAATTGACTATGTGAATGAGCGATTCTTCTTTTTTGAGAGGGGTTAGAATACAAAAAGTTTTGTTTTAAAAAATGAAAATAGGGATGGGGTGCTATTTCTATTCAGTTACCAAGCGACACGGGTTGAGAATGGTACTATTCCCATGGTGTCGACATGCTCACGTAGAGTTGTCTACGGTCAAGTAAAGGATTGATTCCTACGTTCTAGCTATTCAAGGCTAAGTTAATATACATGTGTAAAATGACTATACTGTATGTGTGATATTTGAAAAAGATGTTATTGCATATGCATTATGTCTGTGGATATAGGCACATGTTCTTTTCAGAAAGGTTGTACACATTTGTACATTTGTATGAAACAGCTACTGTTCTGTATATAGAGAGAGAGATTTTTATTGCATAAGATGGAATATATTGTGAACATCTTACTTACTGCAGAATGGACATTGTGGACCAGTGTTCTATTGTGTTGCTTATAAGTGTATTTGATTGTCATACAAATGCATTTATATTAAAAGTGCTCTTAATGCGAATGATGCATTTGTGTCGTCATAGTCAAGCCCCTTGTTCCTCCCTGGGCCTCATCATCATCATCATCATCATCATCATCATCATCATCATCATCCCACCATCCCTGCCTCTCTTCCTCCCTCCTCCATTTCTTCCCCTGGAGCGAGTTTCGCTCAGCAACAGCACTGACGCACACACATGACGAGATAGAATGAGACACTATCTGACTCAGACTGACGCACACTCTGGGCATCGAGGTTTTTGCGTGCAAACGTTTGCACGCAGGCAGCCTCCCACTTATGATGATGCGCACACACACATAATAGTAGGCAATATGACCCCCCCCCCTCCTTTCTGCCACCCCTCTTTACAAATCACAGTAGCCCACATTCACTCCATCGAGGTACCTGTGACTCCATCAGCGATGACGCGGTGCGAGACTCCATATATAGGCATTCCTGCTCCCGTCTATTCTCAGCATCCATTCAGAAGGATCAGAGAGGGGAGGGTTGGAGAGAGAGGGGAGACAAAGGAGGAGTGAGAGGAGGCTAAAATTAGAGGTACAGTAAAGATGATGCTGTCGCCACACGATGGAAAGGTGAAAGAAAATCAACATTTTAGGAAAAAATACACAAATACAATAGATTTTCTGAGAATCCAGATAGATGAAACATAGATGATTGGTTTTATGGATCTTTTACTGTCAGGTCTTATCACCCGTGTCATAAAATAAGAATAAGAATACACCTTATATTACTTGTGATGAGAAAAGACTGTAAACATTATAGTGGCTTTCTGCATGGGAACATTTTGTCCCATCACTCCTTGCTGCTGCTGCAGTGTCTGAAGGAGTGAAGATGAGCAGGAGGAGGAAGAGTTGCTCAGCTTAATGCTGCTCTCTTCTGGCAAAGACATGCACTGCAGCAGAGAGAAGAAAGTGTGTGTGTTGTGTAAGAGGCCATGTTAGAAAAAGGTTCTGAAGAGGGCAGGTGTGAAGGACATCCTGATAATATAACAGCTGTTATAAGTGACACTATTCGGAGCTTCCATGAAGGTTAAGTATATGCCGGGTTCGGTGAGATGGTGGATATCTACTGTATGGCTGCAAGTAATGATTATTTCATTATCGAATCATCTGACGATTATTTCATACATTAGTCCTATATTCTGTTTCTATTATATTCTATTTTATTTTATTTACTTATTTGATCTGTTTTATTGTGTTGCACTGTTGGAGGAGCCTGTGACCTAACTTGTTCACTGTCATAACTACACTGTGCACACAGTACAATAAAAGCCTTGAAACCTTGAGGTCTATACAAATGTCAGAAAAAAGTGCAAACTGTCCACCTCAGTGTCTCAAAGTCTTGTGTGTCTTTTCCAAAACCCAAAGATATCAAATAATAGATATCCTTACCCGTGATGACAATATGTTATAAAGTCAATAAACGCAATTATCTGTACAGATCCCAGACTCAAAAGTGTCTGTAAGAATATACTTCAAGCATTTAACAATGATGTTAAAGGAGAACATCGCAAATCCTCACGTTTGAAAGGCTAGAAACAGGAAAAGTGTATTTTCTGTCTGTATCTATCAGACTGTTTTAACTCCTCAAAATGCTGGCAATTTGCTTTTTATTTTAATTTGTGTGTTTATATATTTATTGTGTCTTTTATATTATATATTACATTATATTTTATTTCACTTACCTTGTATTTTATTCATTCACTTTAATGAGACAATTGTGACAAAAAACATTTCCCCCCCCAGGGATTATTGAAGTATTTCTGATTCAGAAAAAAACGAAGAAAAGCGGGGAATCTCCACGAGGATGAAAACTGCATTTTCTGCGATCTTTGCAAAAATGACCTAAATTTTTTATTATTCGTCAAAATAGTTGGTGCCTATTTTTCTGTCAGTTGATTAATCGCTGCAGCTCTTTCGAGAACAGTCAATTATTAATGGAGAGGTCCTGACGAAACCATACTCACATGCAGACTGTTATTGCTCCTCATGTCAAGAGTGTAAGTCACACGTTCCATCTTTGAAATGTCCTCAGACACCATTTCCTTGCAGCGCTGTGGACGAGGAATAATATCGCAAAGTATGAAATGTCTGCTTTTATCCTATAACTTTAGAATCTGTTCTTTAAGCGCATACACACCCATCGACAGGACAAAGGTGGGAATCGAACCTCCAACCTTGTGATGTATAGATGAATGTTTACTGCCTGGGAAACGGCAGACGTTGATCCTGGATGATTCCCAGACCCAGCTGAACTTTAGAGGTTTGCGAGGGAACAATCACAGCAAACAATTTCAATCTAAACATGGACGTTGTAGGAGCCATTTCCTTAGTTTATATTATTTTATCTTTTTAGAGCCTGAGATTCTGTGGTGTATATTATTTATTATTTAATTTGAGTGCGTTACTCCTGCAGGTCGAGGTGCTGACTGGAGCTGACTGGAGCAAACAGTTTTTAGACCTTGCTGGTTGGGAGCGTCACAGCTTGGTTCTGTATTGTGCCTTTAACATTGAAGTATCAGTTTATATGACAAATAGTTTGTTTAAAAACGTTTATTTATATTTGCCTTTTTTGGAATAAACTATCTTACTTTTCAATCACATCTGGACATTTCTATATTTTTTCTCTCAAACTACAAGCGTCTATTCCTCGGTCAGCCCAACGAGTGAATCACAAACAAAGGACAAAAAACAAATGGATATCGTGGTCACTACAGACGCACAGATTTAAGACCGATCCGAGAAATCTTAAACATAACCCTTGATGTCGGTATTTTGCATATCAATTCAGGCAAATGCAATTTTCTTTATTTAAATACCAACATAATAGTGAAAAGAAAAAGATCCCAGACTCAAAAGTGTAATATTTGGCTTCCACGTTTTAACAATGGTTTTAAACATGTTTGAAAGGCTGGTATTTTGGTTCATTAATGTTTTAATTGAGTTTAAAAATGGTTGAAGTCTTATTGGTTATTTATTATTTCAGCATTGGTTTGATGTTTATTCATTTACATCAAACCAAACTCCTTTTGTGTTTAAAGCAAAAGTTCATAAAGTCATAATATAAAACTAATGTAGCCAGCACTTGCCCTGGGATCGTCTCGGACGAGACTCGCCCCGCGCTCACAGTCCACGTGATTTCTGAAATATTTCACATGAGGAACCCTTCAGATCAGATTCATGAGAGGCGTGTGCACTCTAAAACATCTGCACAACCTGACAGGATACCGAACCGCTTGGAGGAGAATTAATAAAAGATCACAACATCAAAGAGACTAAACATACAAATGCTTCTAAGACAGATTCATTATCTCGGCTCAAGGTCATAAACATATCCAAAATGTGAGCGGATGGAAATTAGCTCAAAGCTAAATCTGGCACTAAAATGTGGCTTGACACATTTTAGTGTTTTAAGTGTTCATTATTGTGCATTGTCCCTGCCAAATAAACGATTAAATGAAATGGATGTGTTTGTTGCCAAAAATGAATCTGGCGTTAAATATTTTCAGTCGTTTAGGAACCAAACAAGAAATATCTAAATATCAGATGTGAATAAGGCAGGAGAAACAACAACATAACAACGTACTGTTTATTCAGACACACAACATGAACAGTGTTTTTGTATGAATGCACAAATAGAGTCAATGCAAATAGGAATGGGGGAGGGCCATGTTAAAAATGGCGCAGGTCTTTATTTCTTCTTGCCCAGCGCAACTGCATCGGCGGCGGCTGCTGCTGCGTCCGCCTTCAACTTCTCCTCCCTCTGCTCCAAGAAGAGTTTGTACTCATCAGCTGAGAGGCTGGAGAGGAGGAGGAGGAAGGGAGGAAGGGAGGGAGAGAAAAAAGAAGAACATTATATCCCCCAAACTTACTGCTTCAGGAAAATCTTCTGTTCAAAAGATTGAAGACAAATAGCTACGGGCGGTGTTCCCTGAACCCCTAAATCATTTTGTAGAC